CACTGAATCTCTCAGAAAGACAAACTTCCATGGTCCTGTTCAATACTCTTCCTAGTAACTGGTACTATGTATGCAGAGACTAAACGAATGGAAACAGGCAAAAGTCACAAGCAGAGCAAATAATTGATGAAACTTAAAGACCAGATGTGAAATATTTTGGTTTCTTCGCCTTGTACTGAGACCTCTTGACAAAGATGACTGTTAGATGGTGAAGGGACTTTTGTTATTGCTGCAAGTATGAAAGCCTTGGTCATGGTTGGGACTGAAATACTGACAGGCTACCAATTCCTCGCTTAGTATAACTATTCTCATGAAGTTTACCACACAACTGCCACTTAAATAAGGCAGAAACACAATTCAGCTGCTTTAAAATAGTGAAATAAATGCATATACTACATGTCCTGACTTGGCATTAAACATGAGAGGTCAGCATCAATTAAGTACTTTGAATTAACCACATGAAATTGAAATACATTTCAACTTTACAAAAATAAAGGTGTTTAAAAAGGTAGAGCAATGCCTATCTTGTTTGGAGCCAGTGGTACTCCTGTGTGGGTTTTATATGTAAATTCTGATGTTTCTAAAAATCATGGCATAGATTTCAAAGCATTGGTACCAGTGACCCCTATATTGCACTTACAAGTGGAGACACCTAACAGTCACACCAATGCCATCGTTGGTTGCCTAACAGCTGATGTAGAAAGTAACCTTCAAAAACCCCAAAACTAAACAAAATAAATAGCAAAATCAGCTATGGGATGGGCAATTACAGAAATCGTAGTATCATCACTGGAGAACACTTGTCTGTCACACTTGGGTTTTCTGTCACTTCAGAATAGCACAGGGCAACTCGAATACATGCCACTGAAGTGCAGTTACCTCCCTGCATGTCTCCTGTTGTTCCTGGCTTTTTTGTCTTTTCCTTCTGAAGCATCGAAGTTACTATGGAAACAAGCAATGGCATTGATGTAGCTATTTGTGAGCCCCACCCAGACATGCCTTGGGAAGTGAGTCTCCACTAATGGTGTGACCTACATCAAGTGGAGCACATCCACCCCTGTGGAAGGAAGCCCTGCAGCTGGGCGTGGGTGCCGGTGCTGGCAGAATGAGACATTGCTGTGCGCCACCCCAGAGAAGGGGTCAGGAGAGGGGCCAAACACCTCTGAGGGGAAGGAGACTTGTAATTGCTTCTGTCATTGCTGAGAGGCAGCGAGCCAGCAGCTTTCCCACAGCTGGAGGAGCTGGTAAGATATCGGACTCGGGACATGTATTTTAGACGCAGCACAGTGACATTCCTTCTCCACGCTGTGGGGAAGAGTGGGAGTGTGAGCTCCAGCACCACATGCAATTCCTTTAAGATCAGCGTGGCATGGGAAGAATTTTGTGTATTGTGGCATGAGAACATAGGGTCTATTCAATTTAAATTTGCCTTAATTTTCAAGACTTGCTGACTTTTCTTGTCAAGAGGGTAGACTTCAGTAATAAAATAACTATAGGACAAATCTTCAGACATGTAATACTGGAAATTTAAAACTTGAGCGGATGATAGTAAGTAGCAGACAAAAGCACTCTGACTATTAAAGCATTAGACAGATCTTGCACCATTTTGTTTGTAGACTTGGATAACAAACTGCATCAGCATTTTGACTAAGGAAGTTCAGTGATAAGAACTGGAACAGCGTAAACCCAGAACTGCTTGTGTTTGGAAGCTCTGAAATTAGGGGGACAATTCCATCTGCTTAGCCCAAAGCTTTCAAAAAATGATTAATTTGGTTTGTTTGCCCTAATTTTTGATTGGCCAGTCTTAGACCTTACAAAAATATGAAGAACTCACTGTTCAGAAAACACAGCTCACCCTCTGCAACTTGGTAATTATAAAAAATATTTCCAGCTGGACACCTCTGGGTATTCAGCCATTCTGGTAAGTAGAGCTATAGTAATGCAGCTGAGCACTAGTATTTATTCATAGCACTAATTTTTAAAAATTAATTCTGAAACACTTCTGTTTTAGCTAATACACAGTTTTATAATCTGTAGAGGCACTCGTACGTAAATAACCTGTATAGGAAATTGTGTTCTTTTCTCATGTGTCTTTTCTCTGTGTAATTTGTTTCCTTCTCCATTACTTGGAGGACAAGGAGGGATGAAAAGAATAAATCAGAATTATCATTCTTGCAAAATAATAGGCTGAAAAAGCATTGTCTCAGTAATTTCCATCTAGAGACAGAACTTTGTAGGGTAAGAAATTGGATGGGAGCCATAATAACTTTCAATTATATGACCCTTGGTATTTTTAGCTAGAATGAGAGGACAAATGATGAATTCAAGAGATGTAGAGCCCAAAGCAGGACCATTGGTGCTGCAACTCGCACCTGTTAGAACTAAGGGAGAACAATATTCTGCTAATAAGAAGCTTTTTACAGCTAATACAGATTTCATGTGATCCTCAGAGGTAGAATGACAAGTTTTAATTCCCCTCCAAAGGAAGTCACATCTACAGCAGGGATGGTATGTGAGACAGCAGGCAACACAGAGCTGGGAAGTTGTTTATGAGAACTGCTAGTGCTAGTATGGGATGGAGAGTGGATGGCTTAGGACACTAATCAGTTGACTTTAGAGCCCCAAGACAGAAACAAAAATTCTGACATTGTGGAGCCCCATCACACCATAAGCATTACTGTTTAGCTGCATCAGCATTTGGAGATGAGAACTGCTTCAAGATGAGCACAGTCCAAAAAAGAAGGGGCAGTTTGTTTCCTCACCATATATCTCGTCCTGATACAATCTGACCAGATGAAAGAATGACACTTTCTACTTGAGTTTAGGTCTGAATATTTTAAGTAGCAATGAGGTTGAGGAATAAATATCACCAGTCTACGCTTCTCTTCCATTTGCTTTATAGTCATCAGTTGTCTAAATCCAGGTGATGAGAGAATAATGTGGAGGTTTCTAAGCTTGCTTTCAAATCTTGAGGTGCCTTCTGGACCAAGAATAATTTATCTTGTGTCATCCCCCCCACCCATCTCATAAAGACACTCTTGAAAATCCAGTTTAGTATATGCACTGCCCCAAAAAAGCTTCCATCAGCTTATTTTGAAAACATTAGCATTCTAACCCTAGGCTAGTTTTCGATGAGAAGAAAACATCTCACATGAGCCTATAACTTCAGTAAAACTGACTGTTTAGCAAAGTGTTAGATGCAGATACGACAGACTATTGTCCACACCTGAATGATTGTTTCTCATGGCTTAGTCCCACAAATATTAGTTTGGACTGCCAAAATGAACTAAAAAGGATGTGTTCACAATTACTTTTGAAATCATCATTGAGGACAATTCCACTGTTATGTTTCCTTGTACTATAGCTGTGCCAGACAGAAGTATGAAAATGTGAAATGTCAGAACACAGGTACTTGTCTCTCCGTAGACAATGAAGTACAGACATCCAGCCTCACAGCTATTTTCACAGTTTTATCTTGAAAACACTTCAGAATTTTTTAGTTTTGTCCCTCTAGCCTTGTATCTTATCTTTGCCAGTGTCTGGCGTAGCATGTTTAAGGAAGAGCACGAGATTCTTTCCACACTCTGTTCTTACAGAACGTGTTAAGCATCATCCCACAGGTGCACTGCAAGAGGTAATGCAAAAATAGACGTACTGAGCCAGACCAGAAGATGCAGCTCTTGACATGCACCAGTAATGACCACACAGGTGTAAGTACACTGGTGGGCAAGCACAGAGCATGTCACCTGTCAGTCTTAAGCATCCAGCAGTATCAGATTCATTACCTTTATATCCAAGTAATCTGTGACCATTTCTCATCTTAAGTTTTAGTATCCAGAACATTCTAGCAAAGAACTCTACAGTTTAGCTATGCAGTTTGTAAAGCATTTTCTTGCTTGTCATAGGTCCTGTTCTTGGTGTAGAAGGGGCAGTGAGCAACTTTCAAATTCATCATTGTTGTGGTGTTTACAAACAGCAGAGCGTGTGTATCAGGCACTGGTGGGCTGCTGACAGGATGTAAGGATACATTTTACATTTTTATGGGAATAAGTCAGTCAAAAAATCAGTTTTCAAACCCTACATACCTTGAAACTTCCCATCACAGGAAGTCTGGTATGTGCATGAAAGAGAAGGGAATTAAAAAAAGATGCACCCTAAATTAAGTATTAGGAAGATGCAGGATCTCCAACTCACTAGGATCTTAGGAGCCAAGATTATTCCCCCCACCCAAAACATCTGCTTGAACATAGTTTTTAGCTGGAACATGATCTCTCTGTCATAACAGTTTCCAAGTTAGAAGGGGGAACTGTACATCTGTTCTTTACTCCGAAAGCATGAGGTAATGTAATATTTCTGTGAAAATGATCTGATGGTCTACATGAAGCCACAGAAGCAAAAAATAAATTACTGAAGAATTTCAGGTAGATCTCAACATGTTCTTTGGATCAGGCTCTCACCTGATGAGGTATAACAATTAGAATACAGATTATTCTCTTTAATAAGTAGGTCACGACAGCATTTTTTTCTCAAAAAGTTGAAACAAGATTTATTTTAACATACAAATCAGATTTGTGTACAAGGCAAAACATACCCCTACAGCGGTAGGCATATTGAGTCTCCACACAGCACGCATAGCCACTTGTGCCATAGTAATCCTGAGATAGGGAAAAAAGCCCTAAAAATCTTTTTTTAAAAGGCCAAAATATCTCCTTTTAGTCACTCTTGCTATAATCACCTCTATTTGGGAATCAAGAAAACTATCTACAAGCCAAATACCCAAGATACTTACCTCATTCCCTGCTGTGATATGGGTATACTAGCAAGAGCACTTGGGGAACAAATTAAAAGATGCAAATATGCAAAGTTATTTCATAGAAGAACAGCAAGATATTTTTGCCACCTTCAACTACCATTGTCTTCACAAACTGTGTGGTCAGTGTCAAGCTTACACATCCTATGAACTTTTATAAGAGTTCTCTACATTATGAGTTAAGTTACTTTCACCATGAAGTTATATTTGATATAGAAATGTTTTTAAAAGCTTATAAAAGCAGTAGAGCTGCAGACATTTAAAGTCCTGTTCCTAATATTAAGGACTACTCGAACGCCCTCATTTTGCTACAAGATTGTATTTGCATTATCTGACATGAAAAAAGAAGGGTCTCTTTCTGAAAAAAAGTTAAAGATAGGCAGAAGGTACAGACAGGGGTGTTTTTTTTAGTTTTACAACATGTAAAAATAAGTTACACTATAGATTATGGCTTTCTCATTTAGTAGAAGTGTGCCATCATGGATTTAAGTACTAGACACCGTAAGTAATTAAATCACCGTGTTCTCAGACTCTCCTTGTTTAATTTTTGATTGTGTGAAAAGAAGCAACCAAATATTAGTGGGAAAATTAAGAAGCCTCCAGAACAATTTAAGTAGCAAAAAGCAGTTGTAGAAGTCATTCAGATAAATTTTTTAATTAATACAAAATTTTTATTTAATTTAAATAGAGGTTAATTTAATCTCTTGGCACACATAAAGGCCAAGCCAAACCTCCCATGAACTTCAGCAGTCAGGACTTCATACTGAGCTTTATTTCAGAAATGTTTACAGAGAAGTATGATACCATTATGCTACCAAAGTAATGATTTCTCTTTAATGTTAATCATACAACTAAGATATGAGTTAGATTTGGTGTGCAGCTATCTCAAAAAGGCTACAGTAATGCTAAACTAATAAGATTCATAACTACTGCTCAATACTAAGTGTTGTCCAGTACAAATAAAAAGGAAGCAGGGGGAGGCACAAAAGATGCTTTAGTCAAAGACTGAAAGACTGCATATACACAATGCTATATATTAATGGCTGAGTATCCTTACACTTTGAAGTCTACAGCTGCATTCATTCTGGACAAGCTATGACAATATTCAAATACATGTAAATAAAAAGAATTCTCATTTCATAGCTAAAGTTGTAACAGAAATCTCATTGTGCAGTTGAAGGAGCATTTGCAACATAGCTCACAGCAGACGAGCACAATTTTCAGACTTATGGATACAGTAAGAAAGATCATGGCACTGAATTTGGGAATATCTTCAAGCTCTAGTTTTACTCGGGATAAAAGAGCTGACTAGTTAACTGAATGCAGTACTTCCCAACTCCTTATAAACAAGGCTCCATGTCACGCAGATGATAAGCTTTCTCTCCCCTTTTTCTCTAAGAAAAGTATCTGAAAGATAAGCTATAGTGATTGTTTCTGACAGCAGTAAAGAAGACAGAAAAGCAGGTATATCCAAAAATTCTTACAGAAAAAGGCATCCTTCCTGGTTTGATTTTGTTTATAAAAAGGCACTTCACATATTGCTAGAACTCTGATAATGTACTTATCCTTTTAGTTTTTCTGTTGAAAGGATGTATTTCAATGTGGTTAGCATGTGTATGCAAGTGTTCTTTATGTAATTATAAAATTTGTAACACTGTATATATTATGTTACACCTGCTTATTTAGAAGAAAAGATTCATGTTCAAAATAATAGCAGGTCTTCATAAAATACTTCAGTGATGATGGATGATCTGTCATAAGCAACATACCACCTGTAGCAAGTTCATGCTAATAAAGTTAGCAGTGTAAATCTTTCAGAAGTGAGTCCTCAGTCTTTTGTTTTCTTCTCGTAGTCTCTCAATTTCAGCTACTAAGCTTTCATTTACAGAGTATCTTTCAAGTAGAGTATGCATTTCATTCTAGAGAAAAGAAAAAAGTCCCAAACAGTAGCTGTAAAGTTAGTTATTCCTGTTTTATCTTATCCATTTTCATATCTCTTGAAAATTAAATAACCTAGATAATAGTGTTTTTAAAAACTTGATAAGAAAAGTAAGGGGTTTTTTTATGCTGACATACAGTATTTTGATCATTAATACATTAGTGAATAATTTATCAAAGGATATTTTGCACTTCTTCAGGATGAGAATCTACTAATGCAGGTTCCATTAAAATGTTCAGTACCGAGACAAGGTCTTTTTAATGCAGATCAAAAGAACAAAGATCCATAAAAAGGTGTAGTTAAAGAACACAGAACACAGCTCAGTATGCATGCAGTACCTGTAAGTGAAGCTTTCTACCTGAATTCCATCTAGCTCCTCCTTAACCCAGCTCTTGGTCCTTTCCAATGGACACTGGAATTTGTTTCCCTTTTGTCTTTCTATAACTGCTGAAATAACGGAATTCATGGTACCTACTCAACGCATATGTTCCCTTTATTTATCAAGAATAAAATAGTTCAACAGATTCTAAATGATTGTTTCCCCTCTCCTTCATAACTAAGCCTCCCTTTCTTGCTCTTAATAAGCAAAATTGATTTTCAGTTTTCTGAGAAGTTGGCATGCCTCTCTATTACTAAAAATGAAGACAGTGTATTTCCCACCATGCTCTTTGTACATACCAACTGCATATGGAACTGCTTGATCATCTCCACTTGCAAATTCACAATATCTCTATGGCATGCTTCTCTGGAAGAAGAATTGCAAAAAGAACAATGATTAGTTTTATTGAGGAAGCAGTAATTCTCTCCAATCCTCAGCACCCAGAGCTCCACTTTCTCACCTTCATGACACTGTGAAACGAGTCTAAAAACCCTTAAGCCATTAAACATACTCCTCTACCACTTATTTTCTGTAATACTTCTGTCACAACATTGACTTCTGTAAGTACCTTTTTTTTTCAGTGTACAAAAAGACTTGTTTTTTCACTTGCGAGCTGTAAAGTTCTCTCATTTTTACCGAAGCTGATTTTCAATCCCTCGATCATATGTACCACAGAGAAAGATACTTATCTGTAACTGAAGATACGGCTTTTCAGTGTATTGCTTTCAGTACTCTTCTACAAAAGGGCCCAAAACATCGACTGTGATAAATGATACATTATCCTCAAGCCCACAGAATGCTCCCGGTTAATCTACATAAGAAGTACTGTCAGTGTTGTCCACGAATTGACAAATTCACATCAATTCATGGACAACTATTCCACACTACAAGAGCCAAGCCTGGAAATACCCTCTGAACACTACACTAATATGAGTGTTCCAGAGACTGAGGAAGGAGGAGAACAGCTCACAAGAAAGCAGTCAGGCACATATGCTCTTCCTGAACAACACATCATGGTGCAATCATCTCACACCAAATACTGTGCTATGCCTACCAACAGCCTGAGAAAGTAAGGCATTTCTTAAGACAGACATACAGAGATTTTTTTTTCATTCTCCTTTCCTAAAACATATAGCAAACCCAAAAGGGAGTATGTTCTTCACTTCCTATTTCCACAGGTTCTTGTGCTCCAGAACTCCTGTTAGAGGCAATTCTTTGAGTATATTAACACAGATTCCAGCTGGCAGCTTAGAAATCCAAAGATGTAGTTTATCTCCTAAAGACAGGAAGTTCAAGAAACAAGCAGTTATTTGGAACCAAATGAGTTACATATTCCTCCTGGTCCTTTTCTAAGGTCCTTTTGTTTTCCCCATTACTTGAAGAGGAATGGATTTCAGGCAAAAGCGATAAAAATTCTCTCCTCCAATTCCAGAGGATAAAAAGTCTTTATATCAATGAGAAGCTTACAATGGCTCCCTTCCCTCTTACTGACCTCAGTACAAACAATCTTTTACATGCATGTTTGAATGTATCCACAATTTACAACTGGGAAAAGAGCCAGTAGAGCCTTCCAGCTACTCCAGGAAGTGTAGGTCAGAAGAGAAACACAATCTCTGAGCTTCCAGATCTCAGACACTAGGAGTACAGGACTGACAAGCATGCATTCCAACACTGGGATACCTGAACACAGACTTTAAAGAAAAAACATCTGGAATCCACAGACTGCATTTTAAGCCATATGGAAGTTACACTTTTTAATCAGATGTGTGATTATCACCAAAAAAAAAGTCTCAGAGGAGTTTTACTATACTATATTCTTATTTGAAGATATTTAATAACATTCAATTTATTTTTCTGTTGGCAGACACAGAACAGCCATAGCACACAGACTTAAGTACTAAGCTAGTTTTACTTTGGTTTTCTGCCATCAAGACAGAAAGACTTCCCCTGCCTGGCAATCCTTTGCCCCTCCACCATATCAGTCAACCTACTTAATCTTAATCATGGGTTGGGAAGTGATCACCTAGATACAACTCTCTCACCTGCTCCATCTCCTTCAAACTCCGCTCTAAATCCACACTAATTTGACTTACTTCTTTCATGACAAGTGGAATATTAGTTAGGTATCCACAAACACAAAGTAATCTGACACCAACCATCATTTACAGCTCAGACTTTATTTTAATGTAAAGCTTAACCAGTAGAAATACATAAACTATTTTACCTTATACATGCCAAGCTAACAACAATCAAAGCCAATACAAGTCAATGTCTAGATTAAACGCTCCACAGTGTCAACTTCAAGAGAAACTTCTGCTAGGACAGGGAATGCTCACGGAGGGAAAGAAATCAGCACAAGGCTTCATGAAAGCAGTAAGGACCTCATTATGCAGATAAGTTTACCATCCAAGAAGTACAGGAACACTTAGTCTGAAAACATGTTAGCAAAGCCATGCATTAACAGCCTTCAGACACATCGGTCTAATTAGTCATCAGAGCTATTAAAATAAAGTTTGATACCTAGATTTCCAAGATTAGGGCTATTAATAGTGTAATTTCAGAATGCAAGTAGGAATTTATTAAAGGAGATGCTAAAACATCTTACTAAGAAAAAAAAATCACTGAAAACAAGTCTTCTGCATGAATACCAGTACCTGAAATCATCCATTGTTTCTTGTATCATATTCTGAATGAAGTTTATTTGGATTGATGTCAGAGGTGCATTTGGCCTGCTACTCCCAATGGTTTCTACTATTCTTTCTGACAATGAACTGGCAACTCCAGCAGTGACAGGTGATGTTATCTTTGGATCTTTACAAATTAAAAATAAAATAAATAAAAATTGTTACCAAAAAAATCAGTGTAATGTAGTACAAGAGATTTTATTTGTGTTGAGGCTTGTCAATATTTTACTTCAAATATTACCTAGTTAAAAAAAAAAAAAAAAAAAAAAAAAAAAAAAAAAGTCTTTTCAGAAGCAATTAGAGATGTTCCAGGAGGGCTAACTGGATTTACAGAAGAATCAAGATTGGGTGTACTGTTTTAATGCTAATGCCATTTTATCAGGTTTCACATCAAGTTCACAATCAGCCACACCTAAAACTGGGCCAAAATTATCAACTTACTTGTTGATATAGTACCATTTACTGGTAGATCATATGCAGGATGGGCCTGAATATTCTTCACTGGTCTCTCATTTGTATCAGGAGCCTTTACAGCAGTGGATGATGGTAGAGTACTTAAAGTTACAGATTCTGCACTTGAGGAGCTCGATTTTGAAAGCTGACAATAAAAATAATAATTTAAAAAACATGAACTCTACTTATTACAATTATCTAATTGCACTTGAAGACTAAGTTTTCAGGAACACACATTCAAACATTTTTGGTTTAGGAATCTACTCACAAATAGATGCTTTTCATTTTCTAGCAAGATATCTTAAAAACTGATTGCTAATTCAAAATTGCCTCAAGTGCACACATAGAGAAGGGACTGCAAAAGGTGGGGCCTCTTAATTTTCACATCAAACATTTTGTGGTGAAGTTAAACATATCATTCCTAGCAAACTCAGACTTCTCAAAAACAATACAAAAGGGACTACAGTCTCAGCAGAAGTATGTCAAAGAGATCTCAAGGTAGAAGAGGGAGATGAAGAATAGGGAAAGAAGAGGGTGGAACTGACATAACAAACAACAATCAATCGTACTGGTGCAACCAAATAATGATCATTCTTGATTTACTAGAAAAATCAAAACATTCCTCAGGCTAGCTGAGTTTTGTTTCGTGTGGACTTTTGTAACCTGAGCTTGTTTAAGAGAGAAGGCCAACGCACTTAAACTGAACAACATTTTACAGATTTGTGTTAATAGCGTGAACAGAGTTGCAAAATAACATTAGCTGGGATACTATTATGGATTTTTCCTTCAAGTAGTATTATTCTGTCAAGATTCTAAAACGACCACTTACAACAACAAGAATTAGTATACCTGCTTTAACACTTCCTTAGTTTCTTGTTTTCCAGTATTTATTTTCTTTGTGTCAGTCTCTGGATGTTCTTCCTCTTCTTTAACTGAAGATCCCACAAGTACATGTAATGGGCTAGACCGTATCCCTTGTGAACTACTGCACACTGTGGGTTTTTTTACAGGAAAGGCAGTAGTGAGCTGTGGGAGAAAATCCAAACCCAAAAGGTAGGACTGAAAATCTAGACCTAAAACGAAAAGGAAAAGGTGAAACACACAAGTGTCAAATCAAACCCACAATTAAAACACCTGCACACCATCATAAAATAAATAAACAAAAAAATAATCATCCAAAAAATGAACCCCACAAAAAAAAAAAAATCCTTAAAACCAACTTATACTGTCACAGTTCTTATGAAAGTAATAAAACATGAAAAGCCTCTACATCTCATTATAAATTGCATAACGGAAAAACAAAAATCACTTTAGGACCACACTCTGATTTCCTGTTACCATGTTGTGTCTTAGCACCTCATTGTGCTAGAAAATTTCCAGAAAAGTTCATTTGTTTCAGTGTCTGCTTTCATCATTTATTTTGAATGGTACAACAAAATCAGCATGTAAGAACTAGCATAGGCCTCCAAAGGCGTACCACTGACAAAGAAAAACATACTGAAAGTATGTTTACCATCTCCTTTTCCTTGAGAATCTTCATTTGCTTTACTCGTGATAATATCTACAAAATACAAGAACATAAATAAATGATTTATTAATGAAATCTACATCAATATTCATATCATTGCATCAAGTTAATAATCAAAGACATATTAAAATACCGAGTAAGTACAGCAGCCAGTAACATATAAATGTCAGTGTTATGCTATATGCAGATGAATGATGCTTTACACATTTCCATATTAGCAACTTACCATCTCTGACTGGAGAAAACACATCTCCTAAACTACTTCGACTCCAATCAAAATTATTTAAATCAGCAGTTTTTCCATGATCTGTTTCTTTAGATGGAATCACATCCAAGCTGCAACTATGGGGAAAGCCTTAAAAGGACAGTAACGTTCAATTAGTAATTGACAGTTTCAAAAAATAACATACATTATCCCTAAACAATCTCTTAGCAAGCATGATGGTTGGTAAGTCCAGCAAACACTTTAGAACCTTCTATATGGATTCTAGTTAGAAGGTCAACTTTAACTTCCTCATATTGGCTGCCAACACAGGTGACTAAAAGCTAAGATATTTATTAACAAAAGTAAGATTCAGCTGGATTCAAATACCTTGGGCAGGAGTGGCTGGAGAGCTGCCAGTCAGAGAGGGACATGGGGGTGCTGATTGACAGCCGGCTGAACAGGAGCCAGCAGTGTGCCCAGGGGGCCAAGAAGGCCAATGGCATCCTGGCTTGTGTCAGCAATAGCGTGGCCAGCAGGGACAGGGAAGGGATCTTACCCCTATACTCGGCACTGGTGAGGCTGCCCCTCGATTCCTGTGTTCAGTTTTGGGCCCCTCACTACAAAAAAGGACATTGAATGACTCGAGTGTGTCCAGAGAAGGGCAACGAAGCTGGTGCAGGGTCTGGAGCACAGGTTGTACGGGGAGCGGCTGAGGGAACTGGGGGTGTTTAGTCTGGAGAAGAGGAGGCTGAGGGGAGACCTCATCACCCTCTACAGCTACCTGAAAGGAGGTTGCAGAGAGCTGGGGATGAGCCTCTTTAACCAAGTAACAATAGGACAAGAGGTGATGGCCTCAAGTTGCACCAGGGAAAGTTTAGACTGGATATTAGGAAGTATTTCTTTCCAGAACAGGTTGTTGGGTGTTGGAATGGGCTGCCCAGGGACGTGGTGGAGTCCCCATCCCTGGAGGTGTTCAAGAGTAGGGTCGACATAGTGCTGAGGGATATGGTGTAGTTGAGAACGGTCAGTGTGAGGTTAATGATTGGACTAGACAATCTCCAAGGTCTTTTCCAACCTTGATGATCCTGTGATTCCTTTCCTCTTTTTAAAAAGGAGAGTTGTCAAACTGGAGAATGCACTCATTTTCAGAAAAATCTACATCATGGATGCAGGAAATGTATAGTGTATCAGGTGAAATGAAAACTAGTGAATGCACCATCTGCTAAGAAGGTAACCACATTCCAGTGATCAAAATTTAATTTTTTTCTGCAAGAGGAGAAGTCTGCTTCACTGGGGCCATTAAGCATTCTAAGGCAAATTCTATGCAACATTTAGTCGAAAGCTTACCTGATGTTAGGATATTCTCTGCTTATTTCTAGTATTAGGAAATCAGAGTGGGGTTATAGTTGCAGTCAAATGAAACATTCCTGAACCTTTCCCCACTCCACCCTCAAGCCCTAGTCCTGACCCGATCCAGGGAAAAAAGTTAGCTCTTTTATGTGTGGTAGCAGGGACAGGTATCTACAGAATGGAAGCCTATCATACATCCAAAAACCACCCAGTAATTATTCAAACTACAGTTTTTAGATGAAGAATACATGGAGAAGTGAACTGACTGTAAGATAACCACCTAAATAACTTTCACAATTTCATTCGTTTAAAAACCAGATCAGTATTGTAGTGAAGCTGCTATTCTGCCCTCACGGGACTCCTAACTCTAAAAGTGCATAGATTTCGCTTATATAAGTTAAGATCTAGGCAAAAAGCATTCATGCTGTGCAAAACATAAATAAATCACCTGTAATACAAAAGCTTTACTTTGTAGCTACTTTCATTTTAAAAAAATATATACAAATCACTGTTCAGAAAACCTGTACTACTTTTCTATGTAGGATTACTTGTTCCAGTGACCCAAATGTGACTGTGTGGATGACTACAATTAATTGTGTCAAGTATTTACATAAACTGGAACTTGAGTCAGGCTTGAGATTTCACTTTTAAATATAATATATCATGTTTTCCACTCCTTCATATGTGTCAGTTGTGACATATACATAGGATTCCACTTGCTAGTTAATACTTGGGGTACTGAGTCAAACTAGAAGCACAGAATCAACCTGTGCCAGAATCTACAAAGGATCTACATGGAAAGAGCATAATATAAAATAGAGCAAAATATGTTTTGTATATTTTTACCCATTCCCAGTAATCTAAACATAGTAAGTACCTAAACCAGGGGATGGCTGTTAAATAGAAGTTTATAGGATGCCAGCTCAAAGTACATCCGAACTTCTCATCACATTCTGACTTCCTTTATATTTTGTACTTTAAAATACCTGTGACAAAAAGCCTCAGACATTTATAAGCTGTATGAGCAGATGGGTTTTTTGCTTTAAATATGCTATCAGATCACCTTACTAAATGCCCTTATTTCTCCAAAGTTAAACCCCATAATCAGGGTCTAGAAGAGTTACCACACAACAAATGCAGTTTGTGGTCTCTCATCCATTTCCATTTGTAAGTTTAAAGACCTTATCTTCTGAAGTATAAGGAGGTCTTTATTTCTCAAGTGAACTCTCAGTTTAAGGAAAAGTAAGTGTTTTACTGGGTAAGTCCTCCTTTTCTCAAAACATTTATTTACTTTTGCATGGTCCTGTTTAGTTGCTGTTACACCTTACATCTTCAAATATAGACAGAAAGCCTGTTTTTAGCTTTATTTTAACTGAAATAAAATTTTCCACACCATTCAGTAATGTTGATTAGCATTACTTCTTGCATACATAGGAAGCATTCTACCTCACCTCGTACTTCACTGCATACCCAAAGGAGGTCATTAATACACATCTCTCTGATCTGCAGTGGTTTATTGCCTAATCACTATTGCTAAGAGTATTTCTCCTTATTTAAAAAGGGGAAAAGTGATGTTGCATTAAAATGGCTTGAGGATCTTTTTTTCAAGAATCAAACTAACACTGTTACTGATCTGACCATGTTTTCAGAACTCTCGAATTAAATAAAAATTTATGAGCACATTGCACGCAGTGGCAGAATTTTAGAATAATGCTCAGAATTCTTATAAAGAACTTGTTAATTTCAGAAGCATAAATAGCAAGTACAGTTATACAACTAATCATACTTGCAACTATATTTAACATCTTTCCTACCATGTGATATTGAAATGATGCCTCACACAAAAATACAGTTCAGTTCTCACTTGGGTTTTTGGACTAGGTTTGTCTTGTGTTTTGGTTTGTTGTGTTTGGCTTTTTTTTCCCCCGTGTTTTGTTTCATTAGTTTTTTTAGATAAGGTCTGTAACTCTTGTTTATTAATAGAATTACAAACCATTAGGTCTACATTCCATAAAGACATTGTGTCAGAAAATACATTACATACCTAAGGATAATCTACAGGAAGTCAGAATGCAAAAGACAACCCCACAGTATCACCACAGTTTTCTCCTTTAAAATTTAAATACATACTTCAATTAGAGAATTTTAAACTTCATGTTTCTAAAGCTTGTAGTAGGACCCACAGTTTCATAGTATGTCTAATACAGTAAGAGAGGGGAAAAAAGGTGCAGATGTGCATGCACATACACACAGTTCTTCCAAACAAATGCCCTTCCCTCAATGAATTTTTTATATTGCAATGGTCAAGGCATGAAATATTTCTTCCATTTTCTAGATTACGCCAAATATTATTATAAGAGTAGGAAGAAGACACTACCTGTTTTTTCCTGAAGAACCTCTCCTCCCTTATTCTCATTTGGCAATGTCAGATGAGATGAAATTGTTGCTGATGCTTGAGAGGCAATGTTTTTGATGCCAGTATTTTGAATTTCTCCCAGATTACTACCAGCTTTGACTTCTACTCTTTTGGATACAGGTTTATTTGAAGAACCTGTAAGGTTAGACTGAAGAAAAAAAAAAACAAAAAAACCCCAAACAGATTAAGAGAAGTTATTACTCAGTTATTATTCAGCTAAAAGTAAAAATATAAGCTAATATTCCTTCTGTTTCAAAATACTAAAAATTCAGTTCAAGTTGTAAAGGTTGCCTAGGAGATATGCCTTTACAAATGTAAAAAAAAAAAAATGTATCTTAACATAACTTCAAAGAACATGGGAAACATCTGTATTATTATATGAATATTATGTGGACCTGGAAAAGAACAGCAACAGAACTTAAGGTAACAATGGAGTGACCTGGCATGAGCCAATTTTGATCCTAGGTTTAGGCATAGGAAAAATAAGAGGTTACATTATTAGGGACTCCAAATTGTAAAGAAAGAATCAACCACTAGCAGCAAGTGTCTTATGCAAGGAAGAAAGTCTCAGAGCAGTAAAAGAACCCACTTAAAAGGTTCTCTCCATCTGCACTAAATGGATGTGTGGGATTTCTGGACACAGTAGAGTCTAATGAAGTCTTGGAAAAACCTCTTAAGTCTTCTCTATCATTTAATCAACTTCTCCACTGTTTATATGTGTCTGCAAAAGACCACATATAAGACCATGCAAAATACCTTAAGATGGGCAGCGTGTGTCTTCCCTTTAAGTGGAAGGGCTATCAGAGAGCTTGTTGCTACTGCCTACAAGTGAATCTAAGGTGCCACAAACTGATCTGCAATGGCAGCATATTCACAGCAGGAAATTTAAGACTAAAGTTTCACTCATTTCTGCACTGAGGCTAGAAGCCAGGGGAATTCCACATTAAAGCCCCCTAAAATGGCACTTGAGACTGAGCAGTTTATAATTTCTGTGTTGGTATGAAACACTTCTGTTGGCATCTATAGTGCTTAGAAATTGAATGCTAACATTTTCTTAGAACTTAAACTTATGCTTGGCTTTCATTAATCTGCATATCAAGGAATAAACAGGGAAGTTTTTTTACCTTGGAAAAAGTGCTACTGAACTGGAGACGTATGCATTTCACACAGCCTTTGTGAGCAATAACTGTTTTCACTGCTGATGTCAGTTGTCTTAAGTCATACTGGCAGATTTTTCCCCGGGAACATCCTATAGCTAAAGTAGTACCATCAGGCATGAAGTCTACTGTTGTCAGAGGAAAATCAGCTACTACTGTTGTCAACAACCTTCAACCACGAAAAAAGACAACATAAAGAAGCTTTTAGATTTCAAAAGTAGACTTTTCAAAACAGTATCTAAAAAAAGCTTTCATAATTCAGCTACAGGTCAGTAGTTCCACTTCAGCACCAAGTAAATTCAGTGATGGAACAGTGGATTAGGCTTATACTAAGTGCTCATGTTTAAGAAATTAAAGACTGCATATGCCTGAAAAGATTTCACCAGGACAGGATCAAATTGCCTTCATAACAGTAGTTCTGACACCAGCATTATTTAACTTAAAAACCTGACCAAAACTTACACTATTTATATATCAGTGTGTATGTGTGTGTATATATATATATATACACACACACACACACACACACATATATATATGTATGTATAGAAAGCAGCTGTTATGTGATTCAAAAACCATGTAACATGGCAGTTTAGTAAATAACATGAGAAAAAAGTGAAAAACAATATCCTAAAAATGGTATAGTTTCCAGCAGCAATCATGCTACATATATCCTCTAGCTTCCCAAGTCTATCAACTCTAACCTTCCCACAACTCTAGGAAGAACTTCAGGTCCTAGTTCACATCTTTCTACACCCTTCCAAACTAGAGTTAGACTCTTGTGAAAGCACAACCTACTGAAACCTCTTGCCATCCCACCCTCTTGCTATACAGCCCATCCTTCCTACTTTTTCAAACAATACTCTTCCATATTTAAGTCTCACTATCTCAGCAACTCTTGTGCACCACAGTTATGTCTTATACCTTGAAATAGAAAAGCAGACAAGCTAAGCTCAGGCAGCTGTAGGTCCTCACGGACTGTACTACCCCTTACAGAAGCTAGTTGCTCTGTATCAACAAGAAAAGCCCATACACAAGCACTTGGGAGAGGTCACTCATATGTAGCACCTCAACTAGTTCCCACGTGCCTTGGTTTTTCTGATTGCTTGGGGGTTTGTTTTTTAAATAAAAGAGCAAAATAGACTATGGGACAGGGCCAACCGCTTCAACCATTTTGAATGTCATCTGAATGAAATATTTCATGTCATAGTTAGGCATGCTTTTTTCAGTTTACAAAAACCAATTAAGGATCCTGTAAAAATCAAGGTTTTAATATACTCACTTTTTACTTGAAGTGTCATAGAGAATAATTCTTTTATCCAAACCTACAGTTACAAGCAGCAGCTTATTGACTGGAGAAAAGCAGATTTCTGAAGCTGGTGCTTTATGAGTATGTTCAAAATTATGATATGGGTTCTGGCTATTTACATCCCAGAGCGTTACATTTCCACTGTCAGAAACACTCCCCAGCAAGGATTTCTTAAAGGATGAGTATTTCAAGTGTCGAATAGGCTGTAAAACAGACATAAAACTGAATTGTAATGCCACTATTAAACACCATATTAAATTCTTTTATTTAACACACAACACATTAGGAATACAGACACTGCATTAAAGTAGTTTACAAAGGCTATCCACTCAAAAAAAAGTTTTAAAAAATGTTCATTTCGCATTACAATGCCATTTTTTTCTGTCAGGGGAGCAGACTGGATTTTTTGTGTACCAGTATGGGGTACCATATGAGCTGATCAGCAAAACAAAGGACAAGGAAGGAAAAAAAAAAAAAAAAAGAAAAGAAAAAAAAGAAAACTTCTACAAAAGTTTATTGATTTTGCTGCAAGTATCATGCCATCATATACACTACAAAAAAGACCAAGCCACATCACATCTAAAATTAAAGGAGTGAAAAGCTACATTATTTCACTGATTGGACTCCTGCCAAGAATGTTAAACTTAATTCCCCTCTGCTGATTTTAATGGATATAAGCCCATTTGATAAGACACACAGACTCCAGAGTTAGGCAAGTATGTAGGTCCTGCAGAAGAACAGAGTTTACCCTGTGAGCCAGGACCCCAGAAGAGGATAATATGCCTGATTTATCACATGTAGCCTTGCTATCACAGAACCATGTAATACAGGAACTTAACTTGCCTTTCAGAAGCAGGTAAGTATATTGTTTCCACTATATTACTTCAGAGCACGTTTCAGAACCTCGCTGCTCTAATACTAAATTACAATACTCAATTTCCAGATTAATTTTATTTATGACTTGTTTTCACTAATTCACCCCTGTGACAATAATGCCCTTATTCTTAAATTGTTTCCTAACTTGCCAGTGCTGCTGCTTAATAGGCAGCCACCACATCATCTTTCAGGCTTATTTTGCTATACCAAGTGAGAATCAAGTCTAAGATGGGTTTTGCAATACAATCACCGTCTCTTTGTAACTCTCCCAGTTCAAATCTTTCTTGAACATGGACAACCAAAATCTTAATGATCATCAAAAATGTTGCTACCGCCTTACAAAGGCAGTAACACTTGAGGTCCATTTTGTACTCATCCTGACATATCCTAGACGGCAGTTTCTTTTTTGTGATCCAATCTGTTTTGGTTGCTCATTGCCATTTTATGATCAAGCAGCCCAGGTCTTGCTTTCCATTAAGAATTTTCAAATTCTAGTCTAATATGAAAAGCCTCAGTTGTGACCTAAGTCTGGTGCCTTGATTTTTATACTGTCATAGTTGTTTGCATGTTTATTATTTCAATCATTTTTAGATAACACCATAATCCTCTTTCTTACAGGCAATACCTTCCAACTGTGTCTCATCATAGCTCTACTTCTCATATCATACCCATTACTGAAAATAAAAAGATTATTTATAACCCAAACAAATACTGTTCTTTCAACTGTCTTCTTTCCTATAGCCATTCTCAATTCCTTTCTCAACTTCCATCCTTTCTAATATTTTCTTACAACGAACTGAATTCAAGTGCTTTGCTCAAGTCCAGAGAGATGACAACCATTACATTTTGTCTGAAAATGCTCTCAAAAAGCTATTATATTATTCTAGTATAATCCACCGTACTGGATTTTATCCTATTTCTATCTTTAACTTCATTTTAATGAAGATATTTGTTGGTTCATATGCCTCCAACATAGTTTCTAGCACTTATATTGCATGTCTCACTGGAAGCCTAGTTGCTCCACAAAGTAACACCCTCAAGTTTGTATTCAAACAGGACAGAAGATGCTTGCTTAGAATTAGTAATGTCCTCCACTGGACATGATGGAGACATTACCATCAGCATTTTTCACTTTATTTTCATTTGAAAAAAAAGAAATATGTAGAGACTCAGAAATAACAGCTTCAATTATGTACATGAGCTATATGGGAAACATGCCTGTCCCTCACAGTTCTGACAAATTCTTCACCTCCAAAATACCTTCCTTACTGCACTGTCATTTTCTCATGTTCCATTTTCTGTTCTCCTGCCCACCAAAGACTACTCTCTCCTAGCTCACCTCAAACCTTTCCTGCTATCATACCAAGTCTCCCATTTTCTCATTTTTTCCTTTTAATATCACAGGCCCAAGGAGAGTTTGCAATTATTTTTTCATATACATGGCTTCCCCATATTCCCCCCCCCCCCTCCCCCATTTCTCATCGAAGTCATGGTGTTTTCTCAGACAGGCTTAACAGTTTAACTTCAGGTTGCCGATGAAGGTTGTGTGAGGTGTGGGGAGGCTCCTATTGTCTCCTCACTTTCACGGAATTAAGTTAGCAACAAACTTCACTTGCAACAATGCAATTGCTAGATCAGACTCAAGGACTGGAAACACCTTAAATCTGTGCACACTTTTACGAAACAGTCAAATGCATCATATTGGCATCCCTGACAGTATGGAAGAACCTCATTTCTGAAAGGCTGCTTGACAAGACAAAACCAAAACATTTCTCCTCCCAGAAGTGAGTCACTTAAGTTTTCTAAAAAACCCCAAACAAACAAACAAAAAAATCTCACCACCAAAACAAAAAAACAAGCCACGCTTTATCTAAGAAACATCTGGGTGAAAAAAGAAATATAGCTTTAAGCTTAGCACAGTTAGAAACAGCAGACAACCAAGCCTCATATGGGAAAGCATCAAGTATTAAAATGCAGGTGGTCAAACTACATGATTTACAGTAAGTCTTAGCTTCATTTTCCTCATTTCCCATCCATGCTCAGAGCAAATCAGAAACTATTTTAGAATGAGTATAGGCTTCATGAAGTAGCTTTCTGTCTTTATCTTTAAAATACTGACTCAATTCTACATTAATTTTATAACAAAACAAAAAAACAACATGCTATCCAGTGTTCACTGGAATGAAGTTAAAACACACATACAGCCACTGTGAAAACTGACAAGTATACACAGAAAAATATCTTCTCTGTGACCCAGTGCTGCAAGAGAACAGGACTCATTGTACAGGAACAGATGAACTATTACACTTGATCATTTGAGCTATTTAGTCCTATACCACATGCATGGTACTGAAGTTTTGAAAGAAGTAAAAGGGACCCCTGCCCACCACAGGAGACCAATCCAGGATAATCTAATGCTAGGCATAAGTTTTGGTTTTAACTAATTGGAGGAGATTTATCCCCTTTATAATATTACTTTTGCTGTAATTCCCAAGTTACTTTTCAAACCTTCTCCCTCTGATTACATTTATTGCCAAAGAGGATACTAAAATCAAAAATCACCATGATCACCTCTGTGTTCAGAGAAAACCTTTTGTCACTGAACTTTATTTTTATGTCACTTACCTTTTATGCCACTGAATTTAACATTAACTATGCATCCTTTTATGTGAAGTGTTATTTAAAGAGTCCTATTTTCTTCAGTTCTTTTTTCTCTTTACCAGACTTCTTCCCTACTAAACTCTCTGTATCTCTGCCAATCCTAATTCTGTAAGCTTTTCCGAGCTGTCATGCATACTATTCTAGATCAGATTCTATCATCTATTTTTATTTCAATACATGTTTCTTTATCTCATTTCTTATACTTTCTAATGATTTTATCTTAGTGACAAGAAACTAACACATAGTCACAGTCTGCACCAGTCAGTCTTTAAAAAAGTGTTTATTTTTGTTTGGTATGATGGAGTCACACAGAACTTTAGCCCACTCCTAGTCAAGTTTTTTGCTGAAGAAGCTGAACTTCATTTGTCATCTCCTGTCAATTTTCTTAAGTTATGGTTTAAAAGCAAGGGTTTTGTTACTCAGATTTTGAACACCGGGGCCTTCAACTCAGCCTAGATGAAAATATTAGCCTTAATACAGTTCCTTGGCCTTTATACTGCCAGTAACAGAAATCCCAAGCCTAGAAAGGGCACACAACCCATACATATAATTTAACTGCAAGGTCTGCTAGTTACAAGAAAAAAAAAATAGCTAAGGATGTGGGAGATAAGTTAAACATTGGTACTTTTCTGCAAAGAAGCCTGAGAATTTTTACAGATAACAATTTCATCCACAGTATCATATGGCAAAAGTGTGGGACATGTTTCACTGCGAAAAATCTGACCAGCCAAGCTTAAGTATCTCCTTTGAACTGAATCTAGGGGGATATTTAAAATACTCACTTGAAGTCAGCATAGCTGTTCACTAAGTGAAACTCAAATATGCTTAAGTAAATGTCTGAATGGAAGTGGGAAGGGGTCATCTGTTTTCTAATAATTTTAGCTACTAAAATATTTTCAAGACTGTTAGGTATGATGCAATTATTTGGAAAGCGTCATGTTTTGGAACTAGTCTGTCAAGACTAAAAAAGGCAAGTATGAAGCAAGTTTCACTACCTCTTAGTAAGCACAACTCCTGATGATATCTGGAAATTCTGCACACACAAAACTACCAGAAACACATTTAGTGAACATGCTGAACCCACAAAGAGAAAATTAAAGTCCTCTCTGGTACATTCTACCAGTCAACGTAGCACAAAAAAAAAAACATACATCTTTTTGCCTTAGCTATGATTTGAGTAGATTTTCTGTAGAAAATAAAAGTACATTTTATCTTTAAGCTTCTCAGTAAGAGAGCCAAACAAGGAACAGTGCTGTTCAGAAAACTGTTGGTCCATTGCTAAGGACTAGTTACAATTAGGGTTTTTCACTGCTGGAAAACAAGTGAAAAGCCCAAAACTAAACCAAAAGTAGTCCAGCATCATTGATTACCTTATTTAAAGATAGCAGTTTCTTAATCTCCTTTATACCTTAGTAAGCCTTATAAGTGAGAAGGCGGATGTAAACACAGTTAATAGCTTTAAAAGCTGAAGACTATATCACTATATAGATTGACCAGAACTCATCACACTTCTTTACAAATCAGCCAGCTGTTCAAACATCAAAACTAAATCCTGTTGCTAGGAGAATAGCACCCGGCAATGAAGTCTTGAGCAAACATTACGTTTCAAAACAAACCTTAATTCATCCTCACAACAGCAAGCAGATAAGAATCTTGTAGTCTGAATGAATACCAACAGCAAAGACAAATTATGGGATCTGCAAACAACTCTGTGCAAGAGCAACTCTAATAAAGCCCAAAGGTATTTCTAAAACAAAATCAATTAATAGAATATAGGCCAAAACTCTTAGGAAAAGTCACAGAAATCACTGCAACCTTGGGCTATTCTACTACTTGTAGGGTCTATACAATATTAGAAATTAACCGGCAAGGCAACTACATTACATCATGATGAATCAAACAGAGACAAGCTAAATTTTATAAGGTTAGTTTGACCCCACATTCCCTGATTGTTAAAAAAGTTACTAGGGAGTGGTATGTCTTGCTAAGCCAGACAGCTAGTGTCAGGATCAAGCAGGACAGTACACTGTCTATCTTCTCAAGCCCACCCTTACAAAACTGTGCCCCTACACTATAAATCAAGTAAAGTGTTTTGAAATTTAATGGAATTACACAATTCTTAAGATATTTTCCTCGCTGCACAATTAATCCAGGAATTCTCTACAGGTACCAATTAAAATCCAAATCAAAAAATAAAGCTATTTTGGCACATAAGATCAAAGACAATTTTTAAGATATAAGCTAATAAACTAGGACATCCAAGTAGCCATCCCATCACACAATTATACCTTGATTCCATTTTAAATATGCAATCAAATAAATGCCCCCCTTTAGAAAAATGTTATAGACCCTTTAGAAGTGGATAGTAGCTCTGTTTGTAGTTACTGCAATACTTCAGATATCTTTACCCATCTGAAAGGTCACTCAGCTTTGCAGTAGATCTCTTGATTTCATCTGCCAGCATAGCTATTCTCTGCATCACTCATTCCTAATCAGTTTTTGGCAGAACGAGTTGAATATATCAAACAGATTGATACAGATCATCCTCATAATAATTTCTTCATTAGCAGCATAATCTTTCACTCCGGATATTCATCTCAGCTGTGTAATCCAGCCATGGATATCTCTGTAGCTCCTGCCTCATATCCACATTTTTCTTAAGATAGTAACAATCAAATCAGAAAAATGAACTGACTATATAGATGGATTTTTAAGATCAAACTAAGTATGAAGTACAGTTTTGTTTCAATATGAGACCAGTGATGGATCAAAGACACTGCAGCACTTAAGAGCAGAGATATTTTGAATTTAACAGAGATTTTTCAACAGAAAGTATACCACAATTCCCATGATGCTATAAAGACATAAGAGATTCTTCATCAAGTTATATGGTTCATGCTAGGCAGGAGAAAAATCAACTTCACATTCTATCTGCAATTTAGGACTGAAAAAGCTGTTGCAGTAACAAAAAATTATTAAGTCACAACTTCAGTATTACCCAAGACATTCAAGGTCAGGTTTAGGACCAAAGCAACACTTCTGCATCCCCTAGGCAGCTCCTACCTCTGTAAAAATGACTCGGTTAAAAAAAAAAAAAAAAAAAATGAAAAAACAAAAAGAAGAATGCTTAAAACACAAAACACTTGTCTGTGTCTAAGACAACATTCACACTAAGAACACACACTGGAACTTCCGATGGGTCACCACAGCTCATTTACTACTGCAGATGCCCTTGTATCAAGGGAATTCTCCTAACGATACACGCTAATTCTTCAATATCTTTTGATTCTACAGTAAGGAACTCCAGTGGAAAACCCTAGCAAGGCCCTTAAGCAGTACACATGCTTTGTATTTGTCTTCTGCACAGTTCTCCCTCAAACGAGTTATGCAAAAATCTTACCTAAACACCTAAGTAGGTAATACAAAATCTCATCACTTTTCTCTTTGAGCAGCTGTGCTTTTTTAATCTCCAGATTAAATAAATTCATTATTTCCAAATGCAGGCTTATATTCACTCCTACTGTACAGATGGCTCTGTTCAGCTGTAAATCTGATTACTTTGGAGAAGTCAGAACCCAGGATACACAGTCTTTGTTCTTTGCAACAATACACATTGAGTCCTGCATTGAAATCCTGCTCTGGTTTGTGAAGTCAACTGGTTTTTGTTCAGTTTTAAGATGTCTAGAAGTTTGTTCTTGAAGAATCTTGAAGATCTGGTCTTGATCAGCCAGGATCAGGGCAACTCACTAAATAATGACAAACTCACACCAGTTTGTTGAAGGGGGGGCATTGCCAAGAGCAAATGTGTGCAAGCTCCCAATTTATTACCACCTGTTTACATAGATTCGTTTTTACTTTTACATCCTACTGACCTTCAGGTTTTGCCTGTTTACTGCTCACATGCTCACCACACTCTGCAGGTAGTGTTTTTTACTGCTGTTTTTCACACAGCAGCGTTACATAATGTTGCCTCAGTTATCCACAATTATTCTTCTAACCCCAAGGTCAGTTTACATTTTGCTAACCACTGATTCTTAATTCCCTTAAGTAATGTTACCTATTACTTAAGGCTACAATACACATAATGGCCTGTTTTTACCTTTCTGTAAGTGCACTCTTAAAAATTAAAAGGAAACAGACTAACAAAACTTAAGCTTTTGATATGTACTTTCAATTTCTAAACACTGTAAATTAAAGCTTCATACCTGAAAGGAATTTAGGACAGATAGCCTACCTGATGGCTGCCATAACCAAAGGGAGCACTTGATAAATTGGTGGTAACACCATGTAGAATAATTTCACCACTCAAAGATCCAGAAGCAATGTAGCAATCATTCCAATTATATGTAACACATGTGACTTCATCTTTATGATCCTGCAGGGAGGAGAGGTTAGAGTGGAGAGGGTTAAAGACATACAGGATAAACATATTCCTTCCTAATCTGTGCTTCTGCAAAAAAACTTCAGCTTGATGTTTTTTCCTGACCACCTGTAACATTTGAAAAGATTATTTAAAAGCTGTTATGGAATAACCCAGAAAACAGCAGCAGAACATACTAAAGATCTGCCGTTATATTTTAACCTCTGACTGTTTTCAGAAGATTGTTTTAATAAATTAGTAAAGATGATGCCGTAATTATAAATAATAATGCAACAGAGATCTATCACAGGTGTCACTGATGTTATTTTAAAAGAAAAGTCTTCCAGATACCAGTGATATTTGAATACATTTTCCGTTAATCTGATGTACTACTGCCAACTTCCTCTTCTGACATTTTAAGTATTAACACAGTACCAAATCTTTTTGGTATAGTCATTTGCAGTGATGATGATGTGTTTACTGAATATACAGGGGAAGACAATCAAGTACTTCTAGCTCAAGAAGAAGAAAAAGACAACTGAAGTACTGTATTAGCTACTTAGTAGTATAGTTTCAAACTGTAACTTTAGAAGTCCAAGAAAAAAGAATAAAACAAAGCTAAAGTTTTATAGCCTCCTTAAGAGTGGTCCTAAGTGAGGGCAAACGATCTACTGAAACCATCATGGAAATATACTAGACCATCCTAAGTTTCATGTATTGTAAGTTTTTAGAGAATTGATACCGGATCAGCTAGCAGACAAGCACATCCCAGTTTTGCATAACATTAGTTCTATGACAGTATTCTACAAACACAAAAGTGTCTTGTTTGACATATCAGAAATGGCAATTATCTGAAAATATCCCCATCAGAGAATATCAATACAAATTCACAAAATAAGAAGCCTATTCTGAAAATTTAAATACACATTATCATAGAATTGTACTCTAAAGACATCAAGTTAAGTACACTTGTTACATTTGCTATTTACAGCACATAAAGAACACAAACTTGAACAAGACATGTGTGTGTGCTAGCTCCTATATGTGAACTTGATCCTATAGATTGATACATTATTAAAGTATATTTTTTTTTTACAGTTGGCAAAAAAAAAATGGAAGTCATGAAAGCTACAGATCTTCCTCAGTCAAACTTACCTTAAGGCTACGGTAAACCCTTCTGGATTTCAGATCCCAGATATTAACTGTGTTATCAAGGCCTCCACTCACAACATATGAAGAATTAGAATTCAAGCTCACACATGTCTGATTTGCCTGATGGAGAAGGGGAAAAAAAAGTATGTTCAAGATAATTGAGGTATTCATTCAAATCTACTTAAAAACATTGATGTATGTTTTCATCCTCATCAACACAAATCATCCCACCGACTGATGGAACTGTTGGTACACTACAGTCATTTCTCAAAGGGCATTTAAAGTTTGGACTTTAAGATCTAAATACATTAATAAACACTCAAATGCTCACATTTTCCCATTTCATTTTTTTTAGCACCTTTTCCTTCAATATGCATTTTCCCTTTAAGTTATAGCTCCCTAAAGTGCAATCACAGACCTCTAGTCAGGGAGTGAGTTTTAAAAAGAAAATGCTAAGTTTTTAAAAAAAAAAACCCTCCTTAAAAAGAAAATCAAGAAGTTTTCTAAGTCATATACTTCACATTCCCTAAACATTACAAAGAATATTATAGCAGCAAACCTCATAATTCAGTAGGGCGATTCTGTTTAAAATAATCACTGAAGTACCAGCCTTTGAAAAAAAATGCCAATCTTAATGATAGACCTACATAGAGGACAAATTATTATTCAAGTTCTATCATGTTGAAAATTCACTTTTAAGTTCCTGAGATTTGAATTAAGAAAAAAACAAGTCTAATTATTGACATGGTAAAATTGGAAATGATTGCACTAGTTATAGATCAGATTTAGTGAAATCTCCAGGATGAACACTCCACCTTTGAAAGCATTTGCTTCAGCAACCTAACAGCTGGGCTTGAACACCTTCTCAGAAAACGTCCAGTGCAAATTAGTATTACAGTAACTATCCAAGGAGAATCATTAGAATGGTTTAGAACACTAGCAAGTCATTCAATTAACCATGTGAAGAGTCTCTTCTAAAACTAAGTCCAGCTTTCTGAAGAGTTTATAGTGCCATGTTTCCATTTAACAAAAAAAAAACACCATAACAGAAGTTCTCCTATTTCATGTATTTCCAGACACTTGCACATGGTATGCTCCAAGAACAAACTTTATATAGACTCTATTTTTTTCAATGTACAATTCACAGGCATGCATAATACTAACAATTCAGGTTGGAAAATGTTCAAACTTGAGCTCTATTCCATCTCCTACACACTAGACCAAGTTTGAACCACTGACTGCCCCAGGCTATCACACTGAGGCTTGATGGGCAAATTCCCCTAGCAGAAAGCTATCAGCATTCAATGCTAGTATAACTCCATTTGTATTTTCTTAATGGTAGAGCTATTTTAAAAGCATTATTACCCCTCCACTGTCTATATGTATTTAACTATACACAATGAAATATTTTTGCATGTGTCATAACTAATACTAAAATTGATCCCAACATGCAGAACAGATGGGATACAAACAGTACACATGGTGGAGCAGGGAAGAAAAACAGGGAACAGCATTATTCATACTTACTCCTTCGGCTACTTCAAAGAGTGGAACAGGTTTGCTTTTACAGGCTGAAATAACTATTTTATCACCAGCAGCAGAAGCAGTGGCTAGGTATCTGTCTTAGTCACAAGTTATGGACCAAAATTGTATTATACTGGTGATTAATAGTTTCCCAGAAGGCAGATCAGCTATACAGTCTAAAGTACTGTACCTTGAAGGGACCTAGAAACAGAAACATAAGGCTACTTTACAAGCTTTTGTTAAGCTCTTGCATTAACTACAGCCCTTACTTCCCAATACAACACAGAGCAATTGCCTTCAGAAAGAAGTATCTGATAGATATTATATTATTTAAGAGCTCTTTACTGCTGAGACAGCTTATCTGGTCTACAATTCTGTTTCCCACCACCTGCAAGCAAGATCCACATTTATCACTAGAGTTCAAAGGAATGTCTGTGGCTGTTAGCAGACTATGGATTTAAAGAACAGTCCTGTTGTGGCAAATATTAAACTACTTCACCATATAGTTTCTAGAGTACAATGAACATTTGCTAATTTATCTCCCTCTGCACTGAGGGAAGAAAAACAAAAACCCAGAAAGAACCTTTTATGACACCAAGTACCTCAAAATAGTAAGAAAACCCTTCAAGAGCAGGGAAACTGCCTCTGCACCCCCACCAAACGAATTGAACAGTCATTTAGATCCATGTCCTGTACATCTTCAGGCCAATGCCCATTGTGATTTCTTATTTGCTTATTTAAGAGTACAGGTTAATTGGCTGTATTTAACACCAAAGAATTGGTAGGCAGATTAGCACTTGCTATTTCTTTCATTATTTTAAGGCACTATTTTAGCTTACAGAATTATGCAGAACCAAAACCAATGCTTTATCCCTAACAAATTAACAAACACTCAAAAGCATATTGAGTAAGATGATTCATTTTTGGGGAGATGAAGAGGAGAGTAGACTAGGCAGAGGAAAGGATGACAAGACAGACTGTCTATAGTTTAAGTTAGTAAACAACACATATAAGTGTATACATATTAAATACTATATCTATGCTTCAATTTCTCTGGACACTCTATAGCCAAAACATTCAGTTGTGCTCTGATTGTTTTAACTTTTTCCTCATACATGCACTTATTTGCAGACTTAAAGAGGACAGGCATTCGGAACTTGCAAGACTTCATGTGCCATCATCTTGTCCTTCTTTTACATCAAGATCAGACATGACCACCTTTCCTCATGACAGCCATACAAGCTGTTCACCTTGAAAGTGCACTGTTTCCATGAAATTTCTCACATATTCACCCCTAAGGCCTGGCACCTCAAATCATCATCCTACAATAGGCTTCCAAGACAGAGGTGAAAGTTCTAAATGGGCCAGATTCATTTTCATGCATAGATCACCAAGATCCTATGGATGTTTTCCTACACACCCAACCGTCATCCTTCCTCTGTAAATGCTACAAACAGTGCAAAGAAAACCAGTGCCTAGAGAGTAAGATGTAAGTGTGCATCAAAGACTATCAGAATCAATGAGAAGCTGTTCGAGGAAAAAATAAACAAAATCTTTCATTACCTTTTTCCTCTCTACACTATGTATAGACTTTTACTACATCAGCAATTGCTTTGTTCAGCCTTGTCAGTAAATTAAGCACTGCCTTGAAAGTGAATATTGTAATCAACTACTGAATAAATAAATAAGGTTTACAATTGGTAGGCAATTCAAGCATATAATAATCATTTAAAAAGTGTGAGCCTCCTAAAGGAAGAGAAGCTTCTTCAGAAGCATTTACCACTGTGAATTTGTTTTGTAAATCAGTAACTCAACATAGAGAATTACAAATTTTTCTTCACAATAGATACAAATCTTTTTATGCAAAACTTCAAAATTGCATCTGGCCTGCAAGTTACAAGCACTTTAATAAAAAAAAAAAAAATCACTGAAATTCTGCAGAGCACCCACAAAACTATGGCTGAAACAGTAAAGGATACTATTGCTGGCCCAACACAGTGAGCTGACTGGATGTGAGGGTGTATGTGGGTTGAACTGCTCCACCACAGTTAGAGATGAGGAATCCCATATTTTAACGTCATCTCCTGATGAAGCAAAGCGTATGCTTTCTTGCATGGCTGCACCTGTTTTTACAAAAATAAATTAAAAAAAATCCATATAAATAAGAAGTAGAAATATATAACAGGCAACTTCACAAGTCAAAAATAATTTCATCTATACCATTTAATACTGCTTCCTTGATAATGAGGACGTTTATGTGGAGAGTTACACAACTGGCACTGAATATACTACTTGAAAACAGCAGACACTCCACACTTTCGTTACTTAATTTATGCAGGAAATGTAGATTTTCCTTTTCACAAAGGAAAAACCATCTCTTGTCTGGTATCAAGAGAAAAAAAAATGATGCTTGTATTTCCAGTTTATAACTGCCTAACACGACACCGTATTTCAAGGCCTCACTTCCCACCAGCAGATGGAGCTATACAAGCTTGAATCAAACCGACTGTTCTAGGGGAAGGCTAGAAGTTTGGACCTAAAGGACTCATTTCAGCCACACCACACCAAAAGAGACATCCGAGACTCCTTTAAACTAAACCTTTAACAGCAGAATACAAGCAACAGCAAATCACTTTTCAACGCAATTTACACAGCATTAAAAACAAAAAGACCACCACCAATACTATATGTTTGGCTGACCACCGTTTTAAGAGTGGAAGGCAGGCTAACTGACTTCAGGTTTGTAAAATTTATTCTCAGCTTTTTACTCTGGGTAATTTTAAACAGCAACAAACCAGGACTAAAAAGGTAAACCTTTCCTTCACCCGAAGGCATAACCACGCTTTAGCCAAAAGTTTCCGGGACGTTTCCACATAACTTTAGGCCACTAATTCCCACTGCCGAGAATGTTTAAGAGGGGGCATAACTGACAAAACTAGTCAGGAAAGTCAAGATCCACAACCGCCTTCGCTCGGCCATCGCCCAAGGCAGCAGCCCGCGGGGATGCTCCCCGCTCCCTCGCTGCTCCTCCAGCCTCGCGCGGGGCTTCTCTCTCCGCCCCGCACCTTCAG